ACGTGGGGATGAAAGTCTTCCCACTCCTCTGTTACCACACTGGCAGTGGTGGATGGGGTACCTCGTGATAGCCAGGCCTTTGCTATTAGAGTAGGGCTGGGAGATTTTTCCATGGTATCTGGGTGGAGCTGGGCAACTAGTCTCAAAAAGTTTCTGTCTCACTAGGCTGCCCCTTTTCTGGGCCTCTAGCTGTAGAGAACAGACTTTTCTTGCCATTTCTGTCTGAGCCTGTTGGTGTTTCTGGGTTGCCAGCTTTGCCAGCATCTAGGCTCGAGCACATAGGCAAAAAACAAAAACAAAAACCCATGTGATTCCTCAGGTCTGGAGGTCCCCTGGCCAGTCTACCTTCTCAGAATCTTATGTTTCTTTTACATATAATGCCCAGAGTTTTTACTTGTACTTAGTGACAGGAGTAGAGAGAACTGTGTCTACTTCATCTTAGTCAGAAGCCATAAGCTACTGGACGTATTTTTAAAGTGGAAAAGAGCACATATGTCTAATTTTTTCAACACTTAGACTGAAGAAGGTGTTGAAGTTCACAAAGTACATATTTCCTTTCAGCCTCAAAACAATCCTGTAAACTTGGTATTGTTTGCATCTCCCTTTCTCCGAGGGGATAGCTGATTCAGTGACGGGTCTGACCCAGAGTCTCAGGGTAAGTTGGTCACAGGACTGAGGCCAGAGTCAGATTACTCCACTGATGCTGCATTGTTTGGGTCAAAAACGGGGAAGAAGCGTGCATCCACAATAAGATTTGAGTTTATTTCTGTAAGTACTCCTTTGTGCCTTCTCTTCTACCCCATTCTGGTCTCCCTGTCACTGCTCATGCAGCAGGACTGGGCAAGCTATACAACCAACAGCATCAGCACCTGTTTCCTAGAGCCACAGGCTAGAGCCCTGGGGGCATGGTCCTGGCCCCAGTGGGAGGGAGTGTGGGGCTGCCCCTCCCGTAAGAAAAAGTCCTCTACCAAGCCCTGCCCCCCTGACCCCCTGCCCCCTGACCCCGCCCAGCCCCAGCAATGGTATGAGTACTCTCATACATCCTTCTCCAAGTCTGCAGCAGTAACCCTGGGAGCTTGCTTTTTTCCCTTCAGCCCTTACTCGGCATAAACTGAAAGGCTACACTTGGTGTTGTTCAACCCTGGTGAAATCAAAGGTTACAAAGAACTAGTTCAGAGTGACGAACAGCATTTCCAAATTGAGCCTGGCTGGCCTGTTGTACTGCAAATGCTTCGGCCGTCCAAGGCCAGCTATGGGGCCCTCTGTCATTGGCACAACCAATCTCCTTCATGGTGTGCACTCTATTCATTTTGGTCAAACTGTGTTCTCTAAAACACTAGATTTCCAGATTGTTTCAAAAGCATTCACTGCACACTACACATAAGTTTCCCACACCCCAAGCTTTAGGTAACACATAAGATTGGCTGAAGAACTGGAATTCTGACTTTCAAGTGCCTGTGATGGGACCTCAGAAAAGTTTAGACTTCAACATTCTCTCCTTAAATTTTTAACTAAAATCCACCCTCTGGTATGATGTGCCAGGTTTGGCTTGTGGCTTCGGGCATCCCCTGATAGACCACCGCATCCTCCCAAGGTAGATGCACCCCAGCTTGAGAAGCCTAACACTGGGTCAGATGTCAAATAAAAACACAAATTGCTTATACCTGAAATGAATAGAACATTGTGCATCAACTATACTTCAATAATAAAGTTTAAAAAAAGAAAAACTACAAGCTCTTTCATATGGTGCAATACCATACATGATACATACTTGCACATGTACTAAATTTTACCTTTATAAAAAATGAGTCCAAAACCAGTGAGTAAATTAATACAATAAAATGCTGGTTTTGCATGTTACTAAGCAACAGAGGAATGTATTTCAGAAAAATTAAAGTTCAAAAGAGGTAGAATGATAAAATGCCTCCTACTGGGGATGCACTAAATAATAACTGACCACAAAGATGCTTTTAAATTCCAGTGACACAAATGCAAAGCTTTAGAACTTCTCACCACTGGCATGCATTTCTGTAGTCATATTACTTTTTGACTTAAGTAGGAAAAGATGAGTCTAAATAAGTAACGCTCCTGAATTACACAACTTTGTAAAGAAACAACTAAAATTATTTAGCTCTAATTGTATACAGTGACCAGGATTAAGCTCCAATGGGTTAACCCAACAGAACAGCTTTGAAGGGGCCAAGTAGAGTGGCTGAATTTTTGTTGAGCATGTATTCCTAAAGACTAATCTTCATGGGGGAATAGCAGGCATTTCTTAAAAGCATCGAATATCTGTGGGAAATCTGGACCAGGAAAGCAACAGTAGAGCATAAACATTAAAAAGAAAGAAAAGTGTATAGAAAAAAGCCAATTCAAAGGAAGATAACAAATGTATTTAGAGTAAAAAGGGAGGATACCATATCAATAAAGAAGAAGAGACTTTGTTTCCATCTCCTGGAAGTGAAGAATAAAATTGCTAAAATGAAAAATGTGAGAGGCAGGTGACAGAGAATGCACACAGTTGGAGATCAAATCACCACGCTGGAAAACTGAACTAACAAACTCTTTCGGGACTCAGAACCAAAAGACAAAGAGATGGGAACTATGAATGGACAGTTATAATACTGGAAGGAGAGAAGAGGTAGTTCTGGAAATAGAAGTTCCAAAAATATGTTGGAGGGAAGGGAATTATTGTGTTAACTATTAAAGATATTATCAGGGTGATGACCCAACCCTCGAGTTTGAATATATAAAGAGTTTACAGATGGAAATGGCTGAATGAGACAAGAATACATGAATACATGAAAAAAACAGCCATACCTAGACTATCAAGAAATTCACTGATATGAAATCCAATTAAAAAAAGAACAAAATCAAAACGACCTAAAAATTTCCAGAAAGAAAAAAAATGGCATTTCCTAAGAACTCGGTAAGATCCAGATGGACACTGACATCTCTTCAGCGACACTATGAGCAAAGAGGCAATGGAGCAGTGTCCTCATAGTTACAAGAGAAAGGAATTTTTTTTAAGTTTATTTATTTATTTTGTGAGAGAGAGAGAGAGAGAGCAAGTGGGGGAAGGACAGAGAGAAGGGGAGAGAGAGAATCCGAAGCAGGTTCTGTGCTGTCAGTGCAGAGCCTGACATGGTGTTCAAACCTATGAACCATGAGGTCATGACTTGAGCTGAAGTCAGACACTTAACTGACTGAGACTCCCAGGTGGCCTGTGAGAAGAGAATGTATAAGCTAGAATCATTCTATACCCAGTCAAATTCCATTTTAACTGTGAAGGGGGATGAAAAGCTTCCAAAAGTTCCCCAGTCTTGAACTCTCTAAGAAATTATTAGAGGATGATTACCAGCCAAACTCAAAAAAGAATCCAAGAAATAGATAGGAGTATAAAAAACAACGATAAGCAAAGAAACAAGCATTAACTCAGAGGTAAATCTGGATAAGTGCTGATAATAAAAATGATTACCAACAATCCAGAATGTAGTGACCAGTTGGTCCCAACACCGGAAATGGTAAAGGGAGGAAAGGCAAAGTGAAAGTGTGCGAAGTGAGAGACTGACAGGGGGAGAAACGTTAGATATTGAGAAAAAAAATGAATTTAAATATCTGAACTTAAACCACACTGAGCTGAAGTACAACGTATACTTGAGGGACAAAATGAAAATCAGCAGCACTGACAAGTACAATCAAACCAGCAAACAGCAAAAGAGGAAAAAATGGAAAGGGTGGTAAGTGGAAAAAATAAATTAAAACAGGAAGAATGGCCCCAAATATCATTATCAGGGTCATAAAAGATACAAACAGGTTCAAGTAGCCAATTACAGGTCAGAGACTCTGAGTGTGGCTGAAAAGGAAAAGGCCAGCTATATTTTACTTAGACCTTACTTAAAAACAAAAGGTCACAGGGCAGCTGAATTAAGAGACCAAGAAAGACAAACCAGATAAAGGCTAAAAGAAAAAAAGAAGGCAAAAATCGTTTTGGGAAAAATGGGATACAAGGAGGAAAGTAGTACTAAAAAGGACTATTGACAAAAGATAGGCTCCACTAGGAACAATTTGGGCGGCCTGGATGAAAATGCCTGTCATTCTTGAAATCTTGTCATCATCAGGTTGGGTGTCATTGTCAAGTCACTGAACAAAGCAAATCCCAGCCTTTGTGGAGTTTTTGTTCTAGAGCAGGACGGATCAGAACACTAATAAACAACCCAACTAGGTAGTATGTCAGATGGTGATTAAGTGCAAAAAAAAAAAAAAAAAAAATGGGGAAGGGTCAAAGGGAGTGTGATTTCAAATGCAGCTAATAAAGGAAGGCCTTCCTGAGAAGGTGACAAAGGAGCAAGACTTCAAGGACAACCATGCAGATCTCTGAAGGAAGATGATTCCAGGCCGGGGCACCCAGCAAGAGCTGGAGGGGAAGTGGGCTCAAGATGGAAGAGCTTGTTAGTAATGAGAGGAAAGACCAGACATCCAGGAAACTGAAACGAAGGCTCCCTCCCTGAATGATTTTAGGAAATTTCAAAATAAAATGCATGAGGTCAGCTCTCTGAAAAATGACATAACCTAAAAGATTACTTTAGTAGACTACATTAGGAGGCCTCCCAGGTGTCACCCACACCTCATCCTTCATCCGTCAAACCATATGTTTGAAATGCTGTATTGATGAAACAGCACTGAACTTAATAGAAAACCACACCCAGGAGGTCACCACCACTAGCCATGCAATCCTGAGCAGTGTCACTTAATCTCTTCGATCCTCAGAGAGTTATCTTTTAAAATAGGAGTAATAATGGCTATTCTGTCTATCTCACTGGTTTGTTTTGATGCTCAGCTTCTAAATCTAATACAAACAGTTCTATGAATAGTATTAATACTATCATTACATGCCCTGCAGCCTGAGTATATAATTGATACAGCGAACCATCAATTACCTGAAAATTGAAGACAAGATGAAACCACTAACCCATCAAACAAAATATAGGAAATCCTACCTCTCGGCAACTGGTTTGGCAATGTTTTCAAAAATGATCTCTTGGTTTGCACCTTGATCAAAAATTCTTTGAAATCTGCAAATAAGAAAGTGGTGATTATTTAAAGGCTAAGCTTCAAACACATTTGGATTAATATTTTTTTCTCCCCAAAAGCTTTGTAAATGACCCCATATTTACATCACTGGGCTTACCTAACCTAACACAATGTTTGCCCTGTAGTCCCAACCACACTGCACTGTTGTACCCCTGTACACACATGGTGGGTAAACAGTATTGCTTTGACAAGATCTGCACAATAAATCCCTCTGAAAAACTGCAGCGGCTTTGAACCAAATAATAAACTGTGTGTTCTTTAGGTCTCAAGAGGGACAGTGTCTGCAACTGGCATCAAATTTCAAATCCAGATAAGTACGTGAAATGGAAACCCAAGAACAGGATGTAAACAGCCAAAGAACTTCTGATGTCTGACCTGTAAGGAAAGAACGCAGCTGTGAAATGTATGCTTATTGCACTTGGCTTTAAAATCGTGAACTGAGGTTGATTTTCCATTAATGGGGTGCTGCATTAGCCACTTAATTCATGGGATAGTTTTGTCCCATTTGGTTGATCGTGAATCAAAAGTCCAAAAGTAAATGAAGACAGACCTGTCCTGAAAAGAGAAGTCTTGATCAGATTGGCAAGGCCAGGGCCCCGGGGAGGTAGAAGGGTACCAATGCTGCTCTTCTCCCAGTAGCACCGTGACTGAGCTTAGTACAGGGGCACAGGCACAGTGGGAAACCTGGGGGAGGAGACACACAATATTCGTTTATAGTGTGGTAAGTTGCTACCAGCAAGTATGGTCCTCATTAAAGGATCATGAACAGGGGTGCCTGGGTGGCTCAGTGGGTTAAGCATCTGACTCCTGATTTTGGCTCAGGTCATGACCTCACAGTTTGTGAGTTCGAGCCCTGCATTCGGCTCTCTGCTGTCAGCATGGAGTCCATTTGGAATTCTCTCTCTCCCGTTTTCTCATCCTTCTCTTGCTTTCTCTTTCTCTCTCTTTCAAAAATAAATAAACACTTAAAAAATCATGAAGAAAGAGAGAAATGGGGAAGGAAAGGAGGAGGGGGAGAAGGGAGAGAAAGAAGAGAAGCATAAGCAAATAGGGCAAAATGTTAACAATTGGTGAATCCCCCACCAAGAGTATAGGAGAGGCAATTGCACTATTCTTCCACCTCTTCTGCATAAATTTTTTCAAAATCAAAATTAGGGGTGGTGTGGCTTTAAAGCAAAAGGTGTAAAACAAACATGTTGAGGGCATCTGAAGCAGCTTTCAGAGTGTCCTGGGAAGCTTTGGTCTACGTGTCCCACTTGTGACTCAAAAGTGAGTCGGGCACATGTTCAACTACAGTAGAGACTACATGAAATGTGGGACTCTTTGAACTGCGAAGGAGTTCAGAAGAACGTCTGGAGCTGGGCAAGAAAGATAAATGGCATGAAATTCATTGTCTTTAATCAACGTTAACTTCAAAAGTTCCTCATAGCTTATCAACCTCCCTTTTGAAGAAGCAAACAATGAAACCATACAAAGAGAGACTGTCTGACCCTCTGCCTACAATGCCATTTTGCAGGCAGGATTATATCTTAGACAGCAGTACTTACCAACTGTGCCCAGAACGCTCCTCAGAACGCGTGAGAGGCACAGCTTCCGATATGAATGCTGACCTAACACAGGGGGTGTGGCTGCTCAAATGCTCATCTGAGCACAGAGTCAACAGTGCTTTTGAGGATGATGATGATAAGGCGGATTTGCCTCTTTTACCAGGCTGGTGATGGCTGAGTGATTAATCAGCCATTCCCAAATCCACCTCCCTAATAGGAATTACATCTACTGCCATGCAAAGAGATGGCAGGCATTTCAATAAAGACCAAATATCATCATCCCCAAATATTTTATTTTATATAATGTAGTTACATAGTAATTTGAAAAGTCATAATGATCAGCTAGCTTCTGAAAATCATGGAAGAACAAAATAGAATCATAGACGTTCATAAGTTCAGTGGAATCTTTTACAGAGGAGGAAGCTGAGGTCCAGGAAGATAAAGCAATTTACCCGTGGTCCTGGAGCTAATTGGTAATGGTCCCTGAGACATAACTTAAGTGTTCTGATTCCGTGGAGGTCTTTTCACTTATTAGGAAGTTGCATAGGCTTTTTCTAAATTCCATTTCAAATTTGGCATATGCTGATCTCTTCCCATCCCAAACCTGTTCTTCCTGATCCTCCACATCCTAGTAAATAACAACTCCATCCTTCTAAACATTCAGGCCAAAACTTTTAGGGTACCCTTGACTCCTCTCCTTCCACTATACTCTATATCCAACCCATCAGCTAACTCTGTCAGCTCTAATCTTCAAAATACATCTAGAATCACCTATTTCTCAACATTTTCACTTGCTACTACCCCAGCCCAAGTGACTATAATTTCTTGCCTGGTCTCTCTTGAAACAGCTATCTGAGTAGAATCTTACAGTCTGTTTTCCACATGCCAGGAGAAATGATCCTGCTAAAACATAAGGGAAATTATTTTATTCTTCTGCTCAAAACCCTCCATCACCTTCCCATAACATTTTGGGAGAAAAAAAACTTACAATGACTGCTTCCCCAAAAGAATCCTTACAGTGACTTATAGGACTCCCTATGATCTGGTCCCTCTGTCACCCCTTTAACCTTCTTCTTCCCCTCTCTCCCCTTTGCTCACTCTCCTGTAGCCACATAGATCCCTCTACTCTTCCTCAGACATGCCAGCACTCTCCCACCTCAGGGACTCAGTCTTCGTATCTCCTTTGCCTGGAATCCCAATCAGATAGCTGAATGTCTGACTTCCTCACCTCCTTCAAGTTCAACTAGCACCTTCCTGTAATATCTTCCCTGACTGCCCTACGACCACTGAAACCATCCCTTCCCTTTGCTGCCCCTCTTCTAGCACTTCTTATTCCCCTGCCTGCCATATTTTTTCTCTGTGGCACTTAACACTTTCTGACATACATTGTACTTCTGATCTCCCTGACCACCTCCTCCCACTAAAATGTAAGCACCATAGGAGCAGGGCCTTTGCTGCATTCCCTGCTGTATTCCTAGCCATTATACAGCATACGGTGGAGGGTCAATAAATACTGATTGATTGAATGAATGAATTTTCTTGGGAGAAAACACCCTTAAATGCTGAAATATTTATCTCTGAACACGGGCTTAAGTTAAATAATTTATCAATTTCTTTATTCAAAATACTAAAGCCAATATCTTTAATCTAGAGATTTAGAAAAAATGAATAAGAGAATTAAAAATAAGCAAATAGGGGTGCCTGGGTGGCTCAGTCAGTTAAGCACCTGACTCTTGATTTCGGCTCAGGTCATGATCTCATGGTTCATGAGATCAAGCCCCATGTTGGGCTCTGGGCTGACATCACAGAGCCTACCTGGGATCCTCTCTCTCCCTCTCTGTCTGCCCCCTCGTCCTACTCTCTTTGTCTCTCAAAATAAATAAATAACATTTTTAAAAAACAGCCTGGAGAGAAATGCAAGACAGCAATTACGATTCCTTCAGCAGGACCCATAAATCCACTCCCTAAATTCAGGCAGAGATCAAATATGGCTTTAACTTGGGCTCGAACTGCTTTAAAAGTCAAAAGTAGGGGTAAAAGAAAACAGCACAATCTGAAACTAGAGAATAAAGGCAGCATGAAGTAGTCCAAATCCCTTAATTCAAAGCCTGGCTACTCAAAGAGAATCTGGACCACAGGCACTGAAGACAATCCAGGGTTGGCTATTGGGAACTTTGCACCTGATCCCTACAGTTCAGTACTGTCCAAAAGAAATACCATGCAATCCAGAAATGTGAGCATATATGTAATTTAAAATTTTCCAATAGCTACTGTTTTTTAAAAAAAGAAACAGGTAAAATCAATTTTAATAATCCACTTTTAATCCAATATATCCCAAAACATTATCATTTTTTTAAAATGTGCTTTCGTTGTTTTTGAGAGAGAGACATAGAGCACAAGTGAGGAAGGGGCAGAGAGAGAGGGAAACACAGAATCTGAAGCAGGCTCCAGGCTCTGAGCTGCCAGCACAGAGCCTGACACAGGGCTCAAACGCACAAACCCCAAGATCATGACCTGAGCCAAAGTCTGATGCTTAAAGGACTGAGCCACCCAGATGCCCCCCCAAAATGTTATCATTTTAATATGCAATCAATATGAAAAAACTCTTGAGATGTTTTACATTAATTTTTTTTTTTTTTTTTTTTTACACTAAAAATTAAAAAATAATTAATATATTTTAAAATAAAAGCACATCCCAGTTCAGGCTATAGCTACAGTTCAAGTGCTTAAGAGCTACCTGTGGCTAGTGGCCACTACATTAGACAATACTGTTATGGAGTGTACATATGAGCATATGAGGTCAATATATCATTTATGTCACAGAGAAGGCTCATCCATACAGGACACAAATTATACCTTAAGTTCTTGTCTTTANCAAATTATACCTTAAGTTCTTGACTTTAGGGGCACCTGGGTGGCTCAGTAGGTTGAGCGTCCGACTTCGGCTCAGGTCATGATCTCACGGTTCGTAGGTTCGAGCCCCGCGTTGGGCTCTGTGCTGACAGCCAGCTCAGAGCCCGGAGCCTGTCTTTGGATACTGTGTCTCCCTCTCTCTCTGCCCCTCCTCTGCTCATGGTCTCTCTCTCTCTCTCTCTCTCTCTCTCTCTGTCTCTCAGAAATAAATAAAAACATTAAAAAAAAAGTTCTTGACTTTAATAAAGTTTAGTCCTACAATGAGCTTCCTATAAGAGTCTAACCATAGTGGGCCAAGGAGGAAAAGAACAGCACTAGATAAGCAGATACAGCAAAGAAACGCAGGGATCCTGGGATGGCATCCTGGATGGAGACATACACCCTCTTTTCAACTCTGGGCACAGCAATGAAAAGACAACTTGAAATCTACCTACCAGACAAGATAGAGAACCATTCTCCCTGAGAAATGGCACTCATGATTTCATGGTGGATATTAATGCACCACAAGAGTCCAATAGTGAAACAGAAATGAAAGAGAAAGATAAACTTACTTAAATTTGTAGTTTTCTCGCTTATTATTCACAAATCCATCTGCCAAATCACGAGGCACGATAATTTCCAAGGTAGGTGTTAATTTTTCATCTTCGTCTATGGAATAAATCTGCAAAGATGAAGATAACAAATGAATATGGCACGGTGAAATTAAGGCTTGAACTATGAACATGTTATCATGATAGGCATTGTAATTGTACAAAAAAATTATACTTTCAAGATAGACCACAACCTACTATAATTTGGATAATTTTCCTCTGAATCGTGTGCACACTCAAAACAAATATATGGAACTGGAAAAGAGGTGAAACCTAAATTGGTGCTCTACCAAAGTTCAGCTCCCCTTTGAAAGATCTAGTATTCCAATCTGAGCATTTGAGTATCTCTGTTGTAGAGAAACTAATAGTTCTGAAAGCAGGACATTAATCAAAGTACTGCTTTGAAATTATGTACCAAAAGTTAACATCTTACTACAACCAACAAGCCTTTCTGAGCATTTACAAAGTGGCTGAGGCAGATCAAAGGACTGGGTCTGAGACTTCTCAGAGAGCTCACAAGAATGCTCTAATTCAAGTTATATTCAAAGCAGCCCAAGTTTCCGTGAGACATATTCAGGCATTTGATAAAAGACATGTGGTTTCAAAAGACATATGTAATTCATGTCTTTGATGTCATCTTCAAGGTTCTCCTCCCAGCTCAGTCACTAATTAGCAAGGGACCTAGGAGAAATCACTTAACCTCTCTAAACTGATATGGAAATGAAGCGTCTCCACCAGCCCCCTTACAATTGTAAATGCTCTGATTCTCTTCTCCGTTACCTACTCCTTTATTTACTGGCCAGAAAAATCAAGACTCAAGCCTATAAAGAGGTCATGTGGAATAAAGAATAGAGTAAGATTTGGTACTCAAAGACTTGTGTCCAATTCTGAGCTCAATTTACCAGCTGTGTGACCAGCCACCACATTCAGAATCTCAGTTCCTTTATCCATAAAATGAGGAAAACAGAATTGCCACCCTTACAAGACTGCTGTGGGGATAAATGATGTCATGGAAATGGAAGCATTTTGTAATGCACCATAAAAAATGTTAGTCATTAGATTTAGCTTTTTTTTTTTTTTTGAAAAAGACTTCTTGTCTTTCACCAGGAAATAAAATTCTTTCTGACAGGCAATATTTCCTGTTTAAGACTCATTTAGATGCTTGATTATGGGGGAAAAGTCATATTCTTAAACAAGTAAAAGCCTGCCTGAATCTCCCAAAAGTCTAAATAATGTTCCTAAGCAGATTTTTATTGAACTCTCTCACTTAAAATGTGAAGAATTCATGCAGAAAAGTCATCCTGTAAAACAAAATTATTTGTAGAAAGTAATGGCATCAGGTCTGAGACTTTTCCATGGCTAAGTTTTCTCAAGAGACATTTAAAAATTATATCCTGTAGGGTACTACATACACACAAAAAAGTTAATGGCTACACAGGTGAGCGAAAGGGGTGTGTAAGACATGAAACATACAAGAGTGAGGCACTCCTTATAATGCGAGTCACACGTTTTCGAAAATTCTGTAACATTCAGTGCTCACAAGACAGAAAAGACCATCGACTACAGTAAAAACAGTGATCCCTCTACCTCCGTGATTAAGCCATTCTTTGAGGCATTAAAGAAAAGTCCCTCTCAGCCAGAAAGGGACTTTATATATTCAGTCATAACAATACTTACTTGAGACACAGTGGGATTGATATACCTAGAAGACAATTAGAAGAAATGCAAAAAAGAATGTAACCATGTTTTTAAAATGTATTAAAAGCACTGCACAAATGAAAAGCATGGCCATTGCTAAAATTATCAGAGGTTTGTCTAATGCATCTTCTGAGTTACCATTCTATAAATTATCATTTACTCTATAGTGCCTTAAGAAATAAGACTAATGAAGTCATGCAGTCACAAAATGAAGAGGAAAGAAAACTACCTTTGAATTACTCTTGGGGGAATGTTACAGACAGCATTTCTTGTCAAAGGAACAACCATACCTCTCTCAGGAGCAAAAAGATAGGATACTAAAAGCAGGATTTCTAAAGAAAATCAGGGATACACTAACTCAAAATGCATTCATCTGTGTTCTCTTATTTTTGAGTATGTGGCATAATGTTGCAACTTGGTAAGAATCTGCCATTATAAAAATACAGTACGAGATACACAAATACTCCGCGGAGTATCAAGCAATCCATTCCACAGGACCTCACCAAAGAAATGCAAAAGAAGGGGGCACCTGGGTGGCTCAGTCAGTTTGGCATCCTTGGTTTCAGCTTAGGTCATGATCTTGCAGTTTCCTGAGTTCGAATCCTGTGTCAGGCTCTGGGCTGGCAGCACAGAGCTTGCTTGGGATTCTCCCTCTCCTCCTCTCTCTGCCCCTTCCCCACTCACCCTGTCTCTGTCTCTCTCAAAATAAATAAATAAACTTTTTTTAAAAATGCAAAAGAAAGCAGAGTAAAATACCCAAACACTGCACTTTAAAAAAGAAAGTTCAAAGTTACCTCCAAGGTTCTCTATCAACCCCTTCTGTACCCCTATTCCCACCCCAACCCCTCCCCCAATCTCAAAGCACCTGCTTCCCACTGCTGAATCTATGCAGTCAAGCCCAATATTTTTGGCTAAGAGCCTGAAGAGGTACATAGGGACTTTACATATAAAACACTTGGTATGGATAATGCACTTTTAAAAACCTTGTAAGTGAATATAATAGGAGAGAAAATGGGAAGATATCCATGGTTTCTTTCTACACTGTTTTATCCCTTAAAAAAAAAAAAAAAAAAAGCCAGTATTTACTTTGGAGTTTTCTCATGCATCTTATCTTAAAGTATTCCACGAGTAAAAAGACTGTTCATGATGATGGTGACAAAGATGCCATATTTCTTGCTTTAAATACATAAATTACACAAGGCAAATGCTACATTAGGATATACTATGTTACACACATACACACTGTGCATATGGGATAGATATAAAATATTAATAATATACCCATACTCATGAGTAAGTTCCAGATTGCCCTTACCTACTCTACTTTGGGAGGCAAACAAAAAAAGTTTTGTCTGAAGAGCAAAGAACTTTGGATCCTTAATTAAAATCAGGGTTTTGCCACTCACTGGATGGATGGCTTGGCCACATTATTTAATCTACCTGAGACTCAGTTTCCTCATCTACAAAATGAGGACAATGACATCAACATTCTCACCAACCTGAGAATCAGAGATAATGCAGACAAAACACCTGAGTGGTAAGAATGACGATGCTCTTTCTAGGGAGAAAAACGAGACAAAACAAAACAGGTCTTGAAACCTTTAAGAAGCACACCAAATGGCTCTGCTCAAGGCAAGAGCAATGACTTAACACTTTCCGTACCTCTGTCTTTAGCACCCTAGAGGAAGCATCTAGTAAATGCTCAGTTAATATTTTCAGAATGAAGAGGATTATGTGTATTCTTTGTTTAGGGACGCAGAAATATCTACATCTCCAATAAGTATACGTCAAAGGTGCATGTTTGTGTTGCACAACGACGATGAAGTTAGGCAACAAATTCCTAAGAGCCCACCTTTCGCAGAGTCAGAGCGCTGTTTGGTTTTGGTCTGTGGATCTACCTACATTATCTGTAACATCTCAGACGTGTATGGACTTGCATATCTTGCTGACACGTTCTGCCCGGGTGAGAAACATACTTTTGGGCGCATCTGTGTGCAGAGTGTGCAGAGCGGCGTGACCGCTCCGCAGAAAAGTGGGATAAGGGTGCCATGTTGAGGCGCGCTCCCGGGGTGCGCGCACAGGCGCACACACGCACCGTCCTCCACGCGTGAACACGCGTGCCCCGGGGCCCGTGTGGGGGTCTGTGCACAGCGTCCGCGCCCGGGGCGGGGAAGAAGGTACTCTTGCCGGACCAGACCGGCCTGGGTGTCTGCCCGCGTCCCTGACAGCAGGGCGCTGGGGTCTGCGTGGCGGCCCGGGCGCCTTAGCAGAGTGTGAGGGACAAGTGCCAACCCCCCGTCCCAGCCTAGCGCCCCACGTGCTGTCCCTCCCCTGCCTGGGAGGCCCCGCCGCGCCGCCACTCTCGCTGCCCGTACCCCTTGTTGCTGTTTCCGGACAGTGGGCTTCACCCTCGCGAAAATCTGGATGGTCTGCTTCACCATCTCATCCCGGTTCTGCACTGACCCTTGACCTCTCTCAGGCTCTGGTTCCCAAAACTTCAGAACCCCACCACTTCCGGCGAGCTGAGCCTTAGCAACAGTAACTATGGACGCTACCCAAGGAGCACCGCGCCAACCGGGACCGCCTCCTCTCCCTAATTGGTTGCTGAAGGTAGATGCGGCTGAAGGGAAGCACTGAGGGGCGGGGGTTGGGGCGGGGGTTGGGGTGGGGCCGAGCGGAGAGTGCTGCGCACGCGCCGAAGCAAGGTCTGGGCACCAGGTTTAGCTCCACAGCTGGCCTACAGAGTGGTTAATGGGGTGACAACCACCATGCCTCGCCCTGTTCCTTAATCCATTCTTTCTCTGTGCCAACACCTCTTTTTAACACTAAAGTTATTCTGTTTTTCATTATTCATTCATTGAAGAAATGTCACTTGATCTGTGACAAGCAACATACTGGCTGGGGATGATCTGAGCTGAGCAACACTGACTCTGCCCCCTTAGCGATGAGGGTCTGATGAAGGAGGCAGCTTTTCAACAGGAAGTTACAAGTTACCGGGGGTTGGGCATGGGATTCTATGGAAGGCACCTCCCCAATCTCTGTTTTGGAAGAGGCCAAGCCTGGAAGAGAGAGGGACTACTTGCCATGCAATGGTCCTGTCAAGAAGGGATGGGCTCCCTTGTGCACTGTTAGTGGGAATGTAAATTTGTGCAGCCGCTATAGAAAACAGGATGGAGGTTCCTCAAAAAATTAAAAATAGCACTGCCATATGATCCAGCAACTCCTCTGGAAATATATCCAAAAGATTTGAAAGCTGGATGCCAAAGAGATCACTGCACTCCCACATTCACTGCAGTGTTAGCCAAGACATAGAAACAACTTCTGTGTTCATCAGTGGATGAATGGATAAAGAAAATGTGATATGTTTGTTTTTATATATTATTTTATATGAATATTATTTTTATATATTATTTATTTTCCATGTGTAATGGAATATGTACATATATACAATGCATTTCTGGAATAAAAAAATAAACAAGGAAATCCTACCATTTGCAACTACACAGAAGAAACTGGAGGGCATTATGTTAAGTGAAATAACTTAGAAGGAGAAAGGCAAATAGTATATGATCTCACTTATCTGTAGAATCTGAAAGAGCTGAACTCATAGAAACAGAGAGTAGAATAGGTTTCCAGGGGCTGGGGGTAGGGGAAATGGGGAGAGAGTGGTCAGAGGGACAAACTGCCAGTCATAAGACAAATAAGTTCTGGGGATCTAATGTACAGCAGAGTGACTATAGTTAACAATATTGTATTATACCTTGAAAATTGCATAGACAGTAAATCTTAAATATTCTCATCTGAAAAACAAATGGAAATTATGTAAAGTGATGGAGGTGTTAACTAACCTTATTGTGATAACCATTTCACAATACAGGTTCCTGACTTACAATGGTTTGACCAATGATTTTTCATCTTTATGATGGTGCCAAAGCAGAGTGCATTTAGTAGAGAACTGTACTTAGAATTTTGAATTTTGATCTTTTCCTAGGTTGATGATATGCAATATTATACTGTCTGATAATGCTGGGTAGCAGCAGGGAGCCACAGCTCCCAGTCATCCATATGATCACAAGGTTAAATAACCTATACACTTACCCAGACAACCATTTTGTTTTTCACTTTCAGTATAGTGTTCAATAAGTTACATGAGATGTTCAATACTTTATTATAAAACAGACTTTGTGTTAGGTGATTTTTCCCAACTGTAGGTGTATAATGTGAGTTTTTGAGCACGTTTGAGATAGGCTAGGCTAAGCTATGGTTGATTGGTATGTTAAGTGTATTGACTGCATTTTCAATGTGATATTTTCAACTTAAGATAGGTTTTTTGAGACCCCATCATAAGTCAAGAATGATCTACATATACATGGATTAAATTATCAATTGTACATATTAAATGTATATGTCAATTGCATCTCAATAAATCTGGAAAATACACACATACATGAGAAAAGATGAGTACTTCAAAAGACACTGTTAGCACATGAAAAGATGTTCAGCATCATTATCCACCAGGAAAATACATATTAAAACCACAATGGGATGTCACTACATGTCTATCTGAATGGCTAAAATAAAAAATAGCAGGGGCACCTGGGTGACTCAGTCAGTTAAGCATCCGACTTCGGCTCAGGTCATGAACTCACGATTCGTGAGTTCAAGCCCCATGAGCCCCACCTCGGGTTCTGTGCTGGCAGCTCAGAGCCTGAAGCCTGTTTCAGATCCTGTGTCTCCCTCTCTCTCTGCCCCTCCCCCGCTCATGCTTTGTCTCTCTCTGTCTCAAAAATAAACTACTAAAAAAATAAAAAATAGCAACAAAACTAGGTCCTGACTGGGGTACAGGGAAACTGAATGACTCATACATTACTGGTGGGAATATATAATGTGAAATGTATTATGGATAGTGGTACAGCCAGTTTAGAAAATGGTTTGGCAGTTTTTTTACAAAAGTAAATATGCAACTAGTATAAGATCCAGCAATTATGCTCCTGGTCATTTATCCCAGAGAAATGAAAACTTGTGTTCACACACACAAAAAAGCCCTGTACTTAAATGTACATAGCAGCTTTATTTGTAATAGCTCCAAACTGAAAACAATTCAGATGTCCTTGAGCTGCTGAATGTATTTAAAAAAAAAAAAAAAAAAAAAGACTGTGGAATAGTATTCAGCAATAAAAATGGAGGGACTACTAGTAGACGTAACAAGTTGGATGAATTTCCAGGGAATTATGCTAAGTGAAAGAAGCCAGGCTCAAAATCAAATACTCTATGATTCCATTTATATAACATTCTTGAAATGACAAAATTATAGAGAAAAAGAGGAGATTAGTGGTTTCCAGGGGTTAAGGGAGGAAGGGAGGGGGTGAAGTGGCTATGGCTATAAAAGGATCCTAGTGATGGCCTGTTTGTATCTTGACTGTGGCACCAGTCACAGAAATCTACACATGTGATAGAACTGCATAGAAACACACACACACACAAATGAGTGTGTATAAAGCTGGTGAAAGTTGAATAAGATTGAATAAGATGGGTAGATTGTATCAATGTCCTTTCCTTGGTTGTGATGTTATGTTATAGTTGTGCAAGATGTTACCATTGGGGAACACGGGGGAAGGGAAAGCAAAACTCTGTGTTATTTCTTACAACTGTGTGTGAATCCACAATTGTCTCAAAACACAAAGTTTTTAAAAGAAACTCCTACTAGAGAATAAAAAGACAAGCCACAAACTGCAAAAACATTTTTGAAAAACACATATGTAGTAAAGGACTTGCATCCAGAATATCTGAAAACTCTTAAAACCCAATAAAAAATAGGAAAACAACACAATTTAGTTTTTTAAAGAGGGGGAATCAAAGATTTGAACAGACACTTCTTACTATCTGGATGGCAAATAAGTACATTTAACATAAGATGTTAGCATGGGGCGCCTGGGTGGCTCAGTCAGTTAAATGTCCGACTTCAGCTCAGGTCATGATCTCAGGGTTCGTGAGGATGAGACCCATGTCGGGCTCTGTGCTTACATCTGGGAGCCTGAAGCCTGCTTCCGATTCTGTGTCTCCCTCTTTCAGACCCTCCCCTGCTCACACTCTGTCTCTTCAAAAATAAATAGTTTTTAAAAATTTAATATAAAATGTTAACATAACTAATTTTAACACAATTAATCATTAACAAAATGTAAATTAAAACCACAATCAGATACTACTAAGCACCTCTTAGAATGGCTAAAAATTAGATTATAAGACTAGCAATACCAAAAGCTGACACAGAGAAAATTTCAAACTCTCAATGCAACATGCACCAGTCACTTTGAAAATCAGTGTCATAGTTACTTATTATATAAAGTTATACATGCATTTACCATATCACCCAGCAATCCCACTCCTACATGTTTACCCAGTGCAATGAAAACTGAGGTTCCCTTAGAGAGGTAAACAGGAACGATTGTTGTGGGTTTATTCACACTTGCCCTAAACTAGAAACAAAGTAAATATTCTTCAACAGGACAGATAAACAAACTGATACATATACACAATAAAAAGGAATAGACAGCTGATGCCTGCAACAATATAGCTGAATCTCACATTTATTCTTTGAAAAATGCCAAACCCAAAGTTACACACAGTATAATTCCATTTCTGTGACCTTCTAGAAAAGGCAAAACTGTACAAAGAGAAGACAGATCAGCGGTTGCCAGGGCTGAGGATAGGGACATAGCTGACTGCAAATGGGCATGGGAGAGTTGGGTGGGGGGTGATGGGAGCTGTGTCCTATCTTGACTGTAGTTGTGGCTACATGACTGTATGCATCTGTCAAAACCACAGAACTATCTGCACACTTACAAGTGTGAAGCACACTGCATGCACATTATACTATTCTAAGAAAGGCCAAAAGAGAGACAGAGAGAGAGAAGATGGGGTAGGAACAGAGGTGACAGTAGCAAGGATGAAGGACGGGGGGTGGGAGGGAGGGGAGAGAGAACCAGGCATTTATGAAATAGACTCTAAGGGCTTTTTCACCTGGTCCTAGGTGGTGAGGAAGAGATGACTTAAAGTCAGGCAATATCCAGGGGCACTGGGGTAGTTCAGTCAGTTAAGCAACTGACTTCAGCTCAGGTCATGATCTCTCAGTCCATGAGTTTGAGCGCCACGTTGGGCTCTGTGCTAACAGGTCAGAGCCTGGAGCCTGCTTCAGATTCTGTGTCTCCTTCTCTCTCTGTCCCTCCCCTGATGTCACCCTGCCCCTCCTCTGCTCGCACTCTGTCTCTCTCTCCCCTTCTCAAAAATAAATAAATATTAATTTTTTTAAAAGATTGGGCAACTTCTCAAGCTATTCCAATCAAATCAGTTATCAAAAATCTCCCAACAAATAAGAGCCCTGGACCTGATGGCTTCCCTGGGGAATTCTACCAGACATTTAAAACAGAATTAATACCAATTCTTCTCAAGCTATTCCAA